ACTTGTGCATGTGGGCATGGCTATCCCCCAAATTAAATGATTCTAAGTCAGCAACTGTCAACTAGAAGTGGTGTTTGTGTTGGAATTTTAATTAGCTTAATCCTAATGCAGGTTCTGTAAATAGCCACAGTTGCTGCAAGTTCATGTGACTTCCATGTCCCTTGAGCCTTGCTGGATCCAGGTGTTGATACAGATGTCTGTCCACAGCTAAGGCTCATAATCACTTATTCTCTTAATTTTAAATAGTTACATGTCTTTGTATTAACCACTACCATCTGCAATAATAATTTTCTTTGACCATAGTTAGGAGAGGCAAACCTACAAATGTAAACAAATATGTAGACGGCAGCTTGACAATATGACCATTTAGCAAAACAACATTTATAAGTTCTCCCCGAGGGCTACAGCTTTTTTAGCTTTGGTATTTGATGATGTTTATAATTTCAGACCTGAATTCTCTTCTGTGCATTAAGCAGATTTTATATCCCTGATTTATTTCCAAAACAAAGTTTATCTCTGACATTATTTCTTTGACCCTTCCTTCACAGAACATTATCTTTTCATTGTGCTCTTCCTCTTATCACTGTGCAAAGGTATTTTAAACACAGTTTCCATTTTGTCTTCCTAGTCCATTACCACTCAAATGTCATATCCATCATCATGATGGTTACCTGGTTTGATATGCTTCATGAGCAACTTGCCTGGGTAACTTTTGAATACTTCTGATTTTATTTATCATTTACACAAAATAAATAGTAGTTAATGTTTCATGATATGCATGTATATGTTCCTGAGAATGTATGAAAAACTGACATTAAGCAAGTTCTTGTATATAAAATGAAGGGTTTAATTAAGCCAAAGCCAAATTAAACACTTTGATATGTTTGGAGAGGCAGCATAATCTGCCTTAACCTGCATTAACATCAAAACAGTACTAGTGAGAAAGTTACATAAAGTTGTGCTAGAAGAGAGACAAATTACTAAGTAAATACTCAACATTTTAATAAAGGAAATACTATTTTATCACTATATATAGTTACACAGTCTTTTAGGTTTTTGACTAAATTCTTAGCCATATTCAGATTATATGTATTATTTTCAAATTGATATATTTCATCATATATTCAAATTACCACATTCAAAATTCTTGTCTTATTCTTGTAATTGTCATGTCTGAAAAACAGAAGCAAGGAACTTTTGTTTTTTTCTGACCATTCCTTCCCAACTTGTGAATTTAATTGTCTCACTTAATTCAGTTTTCACAGTGCCTTTGATCAGAACTAGAAATACATTTTATTTTCTCATTTCTTATATTGTAACACCTGAAAGAAAGTCTTACCATTTTAGATTATTGGAAAATATGTGTTCAGAATATCTACTGCCATATACAATCTACACAGTGAAAGAAAATAATTAAATATGAAGGGGAATTTTTTCAATTAAATTATAATTATGAGCATTTTCAGCCAGGAAATACAACTTTAATTGGAAAAGCTGAAATCTGTAGAGTTAATTACTTGAGTTAGGAATGTATTCCTCACTTTACTATGCATGTATGTGTGTTGTATGAAAGTCAGGTTGACACCCTGGAATCATCAGTACAGGACATATCCCCAGACAACAAATTCTCAGCAGCACAAAGTCATTTACTTGTCCCAGAAGGACAGAGGGAAGGATAAAGAGACAAAGACAGGATATAGGGATGAAGCAAAAGGGTAAGGGGACAAGGGAGAGGGGATAAAGGGGACAAGTGAGAGAGGGATGGAATAATTGTCGTGGAAGGACAAAGGAATGCCTTTGGATAGAAAGGAGACAGAGGTGGGTCCATAGGCAAAAGAGAATCTATAAAGATAAAATGGGAAAACCATTGTCAAGATGAGGTGTTTAATTTTCACTGGACAGGTTAATGAGGGGGGTTCTGATTGTGGGGCCTCAATACTTTGGTAGCTGGACCTTGGTAACCTACCTCAGGAGAAGGAAGTGGTCAAATAAGGGAATAGAACATAGTGGCTAGCTTTTTTGTTATTCTTGTTGCTGCTGCTCACTTGGTTGTTTGATTTTTGGTTTTGAGACAGGGTTTCTCTGTGAGACAAACCTGGCTTTGCTGGTACTAGCTCTTGTAGACCAGGCTAGTCTCAAACTCACAGAGATCCACCTACCGCTGCCTCCCAAGTGCAAGGATTAAAGTTGTGTGCTACTACTTACAGCTTTGGTGGCTAGATTGGGGAATCTAATCTAAAGTTTTTTAGCAAAAAAGAGGAAATAGGGAATAGGCAAGGCCTGCCAGAGCCTTGTTTGCCATGCTCAGGCCTATTAGAGTCCCTTCATTGTATATGTGTATACATATCTGTGTGTGTTTGAAAATGAAAAACTGAATGAATCAAAATTAGCAGTCAATAATAAAGAACAGGTGACACTACCTAGGAGTGACTCTATCTGTAAGTATACTCTACAAAGATGCTCAATTTCAAGGTCAACAAAACACCCTCATCTACTTCGAACATTCACCTCATTTCTAATTCTATTACTTCATCCAGAGTTAAATTGTGTACTTGAATTGCCCAGTGTATTCAGATAAAATGAAAGAAACCTTATGAATGTTAAATATCTTGCGGTAGCTAGGCTTCCTATCTGTCACAAGGTATCTTACCCTGAGGGCCTGCATCAATATCCACCTTCACTTTTGTTGCATTTCTGTGGTGAAGCATTTCAACTGAATTCTTCTTTCTCTCTACATTATATAATTGCTTTCTTTCTCCTTGTTATTTGGATTATAGTCACCATGATAATATTACATGATAAGGACTTGGTATCAATTAATCTTCAATATTTTTTAAAATATTTACCTCTTTTTCTGCTCTATCCTTTAACTCTTAAAGCTCTGACATAAGAAAATTAATCTTCATATCATGTGTCCAAAACCATCAAGTGTTAATTATGTTTTTTTTGAAAATAGATTTTCAGACATTCAACTCAATATATCCCAGCCACAGCTTCCCCTTCTTGCTTCCCTCCACTCCTCCTAGCTCCATCCTGCCACCTCCCATTTCTCCCGGATCCATTACCCCACCATTTCCTCTTCAGAAAAGTGCAGGTCTTTAAGAGATCGCAGCCAGATAGTACAAAGAAAGATACAATACATCAAGGAAGAAAATATTGAGACTGGAGAAGGTGATTTGATAGCAATAGAAGTCTTAAGTAAGCAAAAGACTCAGAGATATACCTCACAAGGACATCAAGCTAACAGATATAACATATACATGAAGGACCTGGTATAGACCCATGTGGGCCCAATTTTTGCCCTTTCTATCTCTGTGAACCCATGTAATCCCTGATTAGTTGATTGATTTGTTGGTTAAAATTTCAGTGGGCAATATTCTTCTGGTATTCTTTATCCTCTTTGACTCTTATAGTCTCCCCCCACCACTTTCTCAGGATTCTCATATTTCCAAATGAAAAAAAGCAGATAAAGACGTCCAATTTAGCCTCTCTCCCCTCATAGTGTGTGACTTTGTGCCTCTATACCTGCTTCTATATGCTGTGAGACCAAGCCTCTCTGATGACAACTGGAAAAGATACCAATCAATCAGTGTAGCAGGGTATCATTAGGAATCATTTCATTGATTATTTTGCTTTTTGTGTTTGGTTATACCCCAGATCTCTGAGCTATCCAGTCTCCAGTTTATGGTCATCCATGCAGTGTCCAACATGGATGGCTCTCAGGGTGTGAGCCTCAAGTTAAACCAAACATCTGTTGGCCACTCCCACATGTTCAGTGCCATCATTGCACCAGCACATATTACAGACAGAACAGATTGTGAGTAGAAGGTTTTATGGAAGGTTTTGTGGCTGGGTTGGTGTTCAGGTTTCTCTTCTTTTGGCATGCAGATTACCTTCTAGCATCAAAGAAACTAGAATGTAAGTGAGAAGGCTTCAAACCCACAGCAGCTCAAACTATCTACATTCAAAATGCTGACTGGACTTTGGCAATGGAGCCCTGCTGTCAGTTTTCAGAGGGGGATCTTCCGTCTTTTTTATCCTTTGGTTTTTGGAGGCAGGCATTCTCTGTGTAGCTCTGGCTGTCCTGGAACTAGTTCTTATAGACCTGGCTAGTCTCAAACTCACAGAGATCTGCCTGCCTTTGTTTCACAAGTCCTGGAATTAATGGCATGTGTCACCACTGCCTGGCTGGAACTTCTGTCTTACCATCAGCGTGGGTCATTTAGATTTCTCCACAGGTCCTCCAAGAAAAACTCAACTGAATATAACCCAGACCCACCACTGGAGGCCTTTCTTGGTTACAAAGCATTGTCAGTTCAGACTCCATTTCATTTACTACTAGGAGTCCTCACTAAGGTCACCCTCATAGATTCCAGGAAGTTTCCACTATATTAGTTTTCAACACCTCTTCAAATTTCTGCTGTTTCTCCCTGTAATCACTCCCTCCATTCCTTCCCCTCTCATCTGATCTCTCCCACCCTAAATCCATCCTCATAAACTATTCTACATCCTCTTCCTTGGAGATCCATGATTCTCCCCTCTTGCCCTCATCTTACCCAAACCTCTGCGAGTCTGTGAATTGTAGCTTGATTATCATTTACTGAACAACTAATATACATTTATAAGTGAATACAAACCATATATGTCTTTCTCCGTCCAAGTTGCCTCACTCAAGATTGTTTTTTGTTGCATTGTATCAATTTGACTGCAATCTTCATGAGCTTATATATTTTTAACAGTTGAGTAATTGTTCAATGTGAAAATTTACCACAACTTTTTTATCCGTTCTTCAGTTGACCAATACCTCAGTTGTTTCCAGTTTCTGGCTATTATGCATAAACTGCAATCATCATAGTAGAGTAGATGTCCTTAGGATGCATTGTCCTTTGGTTATATGCCAAGGGTAGTATAGATGCATCTTAAGTTATATTGATTGAAAATTTTCTGAGGAACTGACATATTGATTTTCATAGTGACTACAGAAGTTTACCTTCCTGCCAGTTTGTTCCCCTTGTTCCACATCCTGGCCAGCATGTACTGTCACTTGTATCACTGCTCTTAGTCATTCTGACAGTTGTAAGGTGAAATCTCAATCAAATTGTGGGCTGAAATCAAAACAAAACAAAGAAAAGAATACAAAGAATCAATGAAACAGATGGTTCTTTGAGAAAGTTAGCAATATATATATAACTCTTATCAAAATTATGTGAAATACACAGAAATATCCAAATTAATAAAATCTGACACAACTATATTCATTGAGTTCATTTTGATTTCATATACTGTTACCTTGATGTCTGAAAATGTATTTTTCCCAGTTCTATATGAGAATTTCTCTCTAACATAAACCTTAGTTTATGAAAATCTGAGAATTAAGGTCAGAGTTTATTTCTTAGGGCCTGACACTGGTGATTTTATGATTCATTTCATCATCCAAGGTACAATCAAAGACCTGCTTTTATTAACATTCAAAGCAAAAATTAAAACATCTATAGTGAAGTATTTTAATATTCTACATATAAAAATGAAGGAGAAGCTATTCACAGCAGGATTATCTCCATGAGTGAAAAGAAACCTTATAAATTAAGAATTATTGTTGGTGAGTTTTTTGTTAGATCATCTACTATTGAACTTTACTTCTGATGTGGGTAATGGAAATGAGTATAGTTTAGGTAAATGGCCAGGTTCTAATATGACTATATAACATGTTGTACAAAATGAAGATTTTAAAGTATGAATATCTAGTCAAGAAATTTCTTTAATGAGTATAAATTAGAATCTTGTTTTACATCTAAGTTACAATATAACTTTAGAGTCTATAAATACAATATCTATCTCTATTTTTCCTGAAAAAATATATATACTATAATTATTTTGTTGCTATTTTATTATAGAGACCTCTCTGAGTCCAGAAATGAACAGTTCATTTCTCATCTGCCTATAGAGTACTAGCTTTATTGGAACCTGTCAACTCCCTTTTGAACCTCTTTCTCAAGAAATCCATTATAAAAGTCATATTCATCTCAAAGAATTCATCTGTGTATCTTTAGGGAATATTGAAGAATATAAAAGAGTGTGCAGGACTCAGTGTGGGTGAATGTCAGTACTTGAACTCATTCACTGATACAAGAATCAAAATAATATAAGACCCAACAAAACAAAAACTGATATTGCTGCTTGAAGATGGAAAAAATAAACAAATGTGTGGGAAATGTTTTATAGGCTGAGAAACAAAACAAAACTGTTACAGATCCTTCTATGTTTCTCTTTAGATTTGATGTTTACTAGGGTTCCCTAGCCACATTCCACTCTTGCATTCTGAGATATCTGAATGGAGATTATGATTGGGAAATAAAACCCAACATCTGAACTCCTATGTTCAGCACTATTTGTGAAAAGTGAAAAAAGAGAGGGAAAAGGAAGTTGGAAAAACAGAGATGCCCATCAGTAATTTCTACAAGCATTTTAACTGGAAAGCAGTTTTCCTCATTGAGAGTCTTAATGCAGGCTATTATAAACATTATCAAGTCTGTTCCTGTTCCTGCCTAAAAGTAGTAATTCTCTTCTGATACATCAGTTATCATTTTTGTTTCTGTTCTTGCCCTTCAAAGATGGGCCTTCACTACATATACTTTAACTTATTACATTGCCCCAGAACATCTTTATACTTTCAGCATTCTACTTATATTAGCCCAAAGCATTAGAAACTAAACAATAGTGGAGAGACTACACTAATAGCCCCTCCTTGATGATAAGGTTGATGACTACCGTATATGCCATCCTAGAGCCTTCATCCAGGGACTGATGGAAGCAGGGACAGATACCCACATCTAAACACTGAACTGAAATCCTGGAACCTAGTGACAAAAATGGAGGAGTGATGAGCAAAGGGGTCAAGACCATGATGATGAAACCCACAAAGACAGCTGACCAGATAAGAGGGAGCTCTCAGCCAGACTGATGGCTGAGAGGCCAACAGGGGACTTATCCAGATTTCATGAATGTAGTGCCAGGGAGGAGGCCACAGAAATCACTGGGGCCTTGGGTAGTAGATCAGTGTTTACCATGGTGTATGAGTGATCTTTGAGAGCCCATTTCAAATAGAGGGATGCTCTCTCAGACTGGACACATGGGGAAGGGCCTAGGTCCTCCCCAGGATGAAATGACAGACTTTAGAGATTCCCCCCAAGGAGGGCCTCATCCTCCCTGGGGAATGATGTGGGGATTGGGTGGGGGGCTGGGAGCCTGGTGGAGGAACAAGGTAGGAGGGGTAGGAGAGGGAGCTGGGACTGACGTGTGAAGAAATCATGTTCCTAATTTAAATAAAAACATATATTGAGAAGAAAAAAGAAATTCTCAAAGAACTAATAAGAAAATTAGAAAAGAATAACTTTTTTAAAAAACATAAAAATAGAAAAATGATCATATTTGTATCATTCTGGAATACATGAGACACTTTCTTAACAAAAAAGTAGAAAAAGTCAGTCGTGTTGCTATTTTTCTTGGTAATTTTTTCCTTTATATATTTTTTCAGATTGATCACATTCCTCTCCCTATAGTAAACATAGTTTGTTTTGAGTTTTTGGGTTTTTTTTATCATCATGAACACGTATTATCTTTGGTCAGATTGTTTTTCTGTCTATGTCAAGATGATCACGTGTTTTTTAATTCTTCAGTGTGTTTCTCTGATGAATCATATTTATTCCTTTTTAAATGTGTAATGCATTTGCATGCCATTTCTATGCTCTACAGGAAGTTGTGCAATGCCACAATCACATTGCTGTTTTTTTCCAAATACATTTCAAGTACACAAACATGGGCAGTGAGAGCATTTGGTTATCTTATGGTATTTCATTGATGAGAATGTTTTAACAATATAAAGTCTCCTCATACAGTAGCATACATTAGAAGGAAGGAACAACAGAAATAAAAATAAATTAGAAGAGAAACAGAGAAGAAAAATAAAGAAAAAGAGTGGGAACATTTATGGGCTTATATTCATGAGAAGTTCCAGACACATAAGGACCTTATCTGTAGATGGATTTTTTCCATATGCCACCAGCTCATAAAGAACTAAACTGAGGCTAATTAATTATGAAAGTGTGGTGTTGCTTGCCTCACAAGCTCTTATAACTTAAATTAACTTAAATTTTGCTTTGAGACTTTTTACCACTCTTCCATCTTGAACCTCTTGTTTCCTCTCTGTCTGCTGGCACCTGTCTTCTGCCAAGTTTCATGTTCTCTCATTTACTCTCTACCCAAAAGTCCTTCCTACACCGCTTCCTGCCTCGCAACTACCTGCCTCATTCAACTCTTTTTATTTTTATTTGTTTTATTTAACTTAGAAACAATCATATTTTACATATCAATGCCAGTTCCCTCTCCTTCCCATCATCCCATGTCCCCCAATTACCTCCCCACCCTGGCCCCATATCCTACCCAGGGAGCATGAGGCCTTCCATGGGGGATCATCAAAGTCTATGACATCATTTGGGGCAGGGCCTAGGCTATTTCCAGTGTATTTGGCTGAGAGAGTGTCCTTAGTAAACCAATCACAGTGATACATCTTTACACAGTGTAAAGGAATATTCAGCAGCATTTCCCTTTTTGTATAAATAAAAAGGAAAAGTTCAAACTCTAACATAATAAAGAATTATATATAATATCTAGTTCATTTGGATTTGGAATATTCAGATAAAACACTTTATTATCTAAATTACCTTCATAAATTTATGGTATTATACCTAAGCCATTTTTATCATAACTGGTATTGCCATCTTAAAACAGTCTTTTTTTGACATCAAAACATTTTCGTAAACAATTTAAGCTTTTATTTCCCTCAACCTTATATATTTTATATCTCTTTTGTGAGTTTCTTTTATGAATCTGGTAATAAAGAAAATTTTAACTATAATCATCTCATCTTCAAATACATCAAAGACCCAAGAAAGGTATAATACTACCTGAGTTAACAGGAGGAAGTGCTGACCAAGCAGCTTCTAAAATTATAACAATGATAGACACATCTGGCTGTCTGGATAGTCTCCTGAAACTTCCTCTGCAATGCTGAGGCATCAATCTTTGATCTATGACCCCAAATATCTAACAGACTTTTCTGTGAAGCAAGAGGTTTTGTTTTGTTTTGTTTTTCTTTCTTTTGTCTCTCATCTTACCTTGTCTTTGGAAACTTACACAGTCACTTTCATTTGCGTCCTGTTTCTACTGTTAGAACAGCATACAGCCAGAAGTCTAGTGCAGCTATTTTTCCCCGAAATGACTAGCATTTGCCACAAAGAAAGAAAACTCCATATCGAGGTTCTTTGATGTCCATGATTATTCTTTGAAGTAGATTGGTACTGCTAGAGCAGATATAGCTCACAGTCATGCAAAGCCTTATGCTATTGCAACATTTTAAATGCCATATTCTGTAGGCCTTCAAAGGTGTTTGAAGATCAGCTGTTGAACTAGTATATATTTCTATGACTTTGGTATTATATCAAACATGATTATAATTTTGATTTTTAAAGAAAACTATTCAGCTGTATTTCTTTATTATCCTAGGTAGATTTCAAAAACTAGAATGTAACATCACATTTTAAAATGATCTGCATAGGTACAAAACCTTAAAAAATAGAAACATAACAAGAAAAATAACTACATATGTATCAATATGCAAAATATCTTAAATGACAGTAGAAACACATATACAGTACAACAAAAATAAGTTTGTATCAATATTAAAAAATCCATATGAATGTAAAATATTTGAGACTAGTAGTTGCTGTTTAGTTTGAAAGCAGGCATAATAATCTATTCTTTTGTTGTATCATTTCTGAATCTTCAACTTACTTTTCAGAGCAAGACCCTTCAAACTAATTTTCTTCCTGACCATCATCAATCACAACTTGTGACCAAACCCCTAAAAGATGACAAACATCCATCAAATGAACAAACCCATCAACCCCGCCTCTTGGGAATGTGGCTATCATGTTTTCTATATTGCTTTCTGTTATCTTGGAATGATGGCATCTTTGGGGAACACTGAGAATACTGAGATAATTGTCAAGTCCTTGAGAAACTAACCATAATATTTGCTTTCCAGTCT